ATTGTAAATAGAGTCAATGATGTGATGCTTGCTTTAGTAGTATTAAAAATGCAATTTTTACATGCAATGACTTGAATACACCATTGATGAGCATGTGAATTACGTTTTTTTTTTTTTCAATTAAAAGTAAAAAATATGGTGATACGATGTATTTTTATGCAGTTAACCTTTTTATGTGCATGGTTAATTTAAGTTGTATAAGGCGGTGACCCACCAAAAATTAATATTTGAATTAATGACTAAAAAACAAAGATTAATACAAAGATTTGCCTGTCTTCTTTATAATGGACACTTTGACCAAATAACATAACACTAAATTCAGCCAGAAAATCTTTTATTTTGACCACAAAATTATAGAAAAAAGATAAAAACTTGTGATTGTTTTAAAAAGTATTTAAACAGTTCATCCATTACTCAATCTATGGTAACGAATATAAATATGTACAAGGAGCTTGAAACAGGAATGAAAGTATCATCAAGGCTGATAGTACAGAAACAGAACTTGTGTTGTTCATCTGCACATACGTTTGGCAGAAATTGAATGTTGTTTTACATACAAGACCAGCAGATGGAATATAAAAAGAAAAAATCCAATAGAGACTACAGACAACTCTACAATCAAGAAATATGTACATGAAAGGCAGTGAGGAATTGTTTTCCTGGTGACATATCCAAGTATAGTCAGCATAAAAGAGATGGCAGAATGGATGATTTCATCCAATCTTACTAGTTATTCACCACAACAGTTTGGCATTAAAAAACAAACCTGAGATGCAGCAACAAATGAACTGAAATAACTTTACCCGTATTATTGTTACCATCACTAACATGTACTTCACACAACTGACTTTATCCAGTGTCACAGTCCTTGAATTATATTTACATTTTGCAAGCAACCGCTCCAGCCTTTAGTACAACAAAACGCACATCTATATATCCATCTATAAAATACATCATAGAACACATTTCTTTGTCAAATATGAATTTAATACATATCAATAAATAGTTTTTAAATAGAGTTTCATTTTTTGAATCAGTATATAGAAAGATTGTCCAATGAACTGTAATATTTTAGAAGAGATTGTCCCTCTTAAGATTGTCAAATTGAATTAACACTGACAATTCCTTTATATAAACGTACGTTATTGCAGAGGTTATACCATTCTCTCAGATTGGTTTTGTACTAGCTTGAGCACATTGATTGACAAAAAGGCCATGATGGTGATCAGACCAGCCTTCGTCTGAGTGCAGCTCTCTGGTAACTGTTATTATGGTGTTTAAAGCATGACTACTTCATTCTCTGCCCTCCTCTTCTTTGGGACTCCAGAGGAACGAGAACCATCCTCGGTAGGTCTGTTTCTGGCTGTTCGCTCTTTTGACCTCCTAGGAACAACGAAACGACTTAATACTAAGTTTAAAGTCTATTAAATAGAAATGCATTCAGTGTACCATATAGCAAGCTCACCCCTTTGTCGAGCCATGTGTCAAATTCATCGCTCATTCTCCTCAGCTGTCGCCCGTACTTCTTCGCTTTCCACAGCACAGCAGGAGCAGATTGAGAACGACCTCTGAATGGAAGTCCATCTCCCGTTCCTCCGTTCTCCTCCGCCAATGCTCCATCCTGGGGCTCTGCTTCCTGCCAGCGGCTCACCGTATACACCTGAGACTCCGAATAGAGCCGCACACGCCCTGCAAAAGCACGTCGTCACATGGTAACAGAAACATTCCTTAAATCTAGGTCAATCTATGATGAATATCCTGAAACTCTGACCTGTTTAATGGCTAGTGTGGTTCTCTGAAGTTCTCACCTTGAGGAGAAATGTTTGGCAAGGTTTGATCCTGATGTTGTCCTTGGTTTTTGATTGTCTCTTCTCTTCCTTTCTTTTTGTCATTCCAGGTGCTGGAATCATCTTGATGGTCATGCAATGTGTTATCCATTGTAAGAGCTGGTGATAAGAGAATAGTATGATATTAATATTGCAATTTAAAGGGGATAAAACAATTAATGATCTAATATTATTTGGTATTAAATGATCAACTTTGACTGTTAGATTAATTTCTTAAAATTGAGACTAGCATTCGCTGGTTTTCCTAAATACATACCTGTGGATCTGGACGAATTCCAGGACAATAGATATGAATGTGCTCGTCTCAGTTGTCAGTGGCACTAGATGCTATTCCTTCTTATCTCCAGTACGATTAAGAGTTGCTTCTCCAGTTCTCAGCATATATTGATTGCCTCATGGCATGTGACACACCCAAACAACAACAATAGCTATAATTGCTACTTTATATAAGTTTCATATTTCTAAGGTTGAGTCGTGCTCATCTGAAAACGTCGTCGGCCAAAAATAATGGAAAAAAGATCCCGTTTTTCGTGACATTTAGTCGAAATGATTGTCTTCTCGCCGCAAGCAGTAGAGTGGCAAATTTCCAGTCCGGTTGTTGTTATCACTACAGTGTGTATGATCTAATTTCGGCTCGGATATTGTTGTTGTTCGTGGTCGTTTACAGTAGCTCTCCGCTCTCGGCCAATCAGAGCGCTCTCGGCTTCTTCGATCAGCCAATCGCAGCCCGCTGCTAGGGTGTTTTGGGCGCTCTCTGATGTAACGTCACTGTTGCGATAGGGTTTCGCGAGCCTTTACTGTCCAGTGACTTGTTTACCTCATCCGGGCCCCAGTCTCGCGGAAGAGGACGCAGCCGCCGCTGCCGCGAGAGAATTTGCAAAAGAAACACTTCGTTTAACTTTGTTTGCATGAAGTGGAGTTCAAAACAGTGCAATTTAGTTGGTGTTGCTATCCGTGTAATAACATCAGTCTTTGTACAGAGATGCTTTGTATAGTTATAACTTAAATTAATTTATTATGGAGAGTACTTATTATTGGTCTTTACCCTGAATGATTTGCTGTTTATTATACTGACTTAATTGAAAATTATTTAACACTTGTATTCATTTATATATTTTTAGTGTTATTTCTGTTCAAGAATTGAGGTCATAATGTGCATTTTCTCCGTTTGAACTGTAGATGGCAGAAGAGATCTTTGTTGAGTCAACAGAAGGAGTTGGTTATTTCTTTGCTTATGACTCATGCCTGCAGAACACAGAAATATATAGGTTAATAGGACCCATTACTGTGTAATTTACTGCATATGTTAAATATCTGTGATATAATCTTTACTAAGTATATAACGCTGTAGAATGTCCGTGTCTGTTGTACATGCAGTTCAATTTCTATTTGTAGCTATATTAAGACATTCTTGCAGGAACAAAATTGAGAAATGGTTGCTTGATAAATATCATGTTATTCCTGTCATAGACATATAACGTGAAGGCTCACTTTTTGTGAGTTGGATATTCACATTTGATTTAGCAGTTTTAGTTATCTGCCATGTTTTTCCCATTGTGAATGACTGACAGAGTATGGCTCTTTTAAAACACAAACACACAGATGTGCACATCCAAATGAGCATTCTGCAGGTGTTTTACTGAAATTTATGTAAATACATAAAAATGGGTTAAAACACAATATATAATGCAGCCAATTTGCCAACTGAATTTGTGAATACAAACTTGCATTGAATTTGAAAAAGATAGATAATGTTTTTGCAGCTGGCAAAAGATTTAGATAGCGAACATTGACAGCATCCTGGATGGACACATGTTTGAGGTCCTTGCAGAGTAATAAAAAATGAAGGGTCCTACTACTGTTTCTTATATTGTTAATACTGTTATTATCATTTTTGTGTTTTCATTGTGGTGACAGTGCTGCAATAAATAAATGTTAAATTTAAAAAAAATAAAACACTGTTTTAAACCAGATATGCTGGCCTTAGCTGGTTTGAGATGGTCTCCAAGCCTGGCCAAGCTGGTCCAGGGATGGCTTAAAAATGTAAAAGTGCCAACACCCTATAAAATCAGCCAACCAGGAGAATGAGAACCCAGCTAAGACAAGTGAATCAGTTTAGGCTTTTTTTTTTTTTCTCAGCATGGGAATTTAATTCCACAGCCAGCGACTTTGCCTTCAGGTAATTTTCATTAATGTAAAAACAGAGAAGTGCAGAAATGGAGTTCTTCAAATCACCCTCATTATTCTTCAACCTATAAAGGAAGATATTTTTATATTCAAACATTCTGAATTGGGACGAAAAAAAAACTGAAGAAAATGTACTAGATGCTAACTTCTTATTACATACCTGACAAGTGATTCAATAAAACTGCTGCTCACCTTTGGACCACTACAGTTATTGTTTGCAAAGTGTCATTATGGAATCAGTGCCACCAGTAGAGGGGTCAGAGGGTACAACGTTGAGGGTACAAAATTGATTTAGCCCTTCTGATGTGCACGTGTTTTTACACTCTAGCCAACGTAATTAGCATTTCTAATATGTCTATGCTACATCAGTGCCAATTTGATGAATTGTCGTCCAGTGTTGGCTCGCTCTGCCTGCTAGCGACACTCCGGCAAACCTGCACGCGTTGTAGCAAAATGTCCCCTCCCCTCTTTCTGCAGTCCACGCTGCTGAAAAAACGCCGCTTTTCGCACCCTGTCTCGGACTTCTGCACAATCCCATTCGCTGAAAAAAGAAACAGTGTTCATATCCATATTACCTTTTCCAGCATACTCCGCCAGTCTCCTCTCCTCCATCCGCATGGCGAGGCTGATGTTGATGCTGATGCGAGCGTATAGTTAGCATCTTCTCATTCACTCCCTCTGGCTCCACACGTCCATGTGCGGCTCTGATCATTCTCTTAATACGCTTCCCTTTCTCTTTCTCTTTTCCCTCCACTGTATAATATAATCTCCGCTTTTTTATACATAGATTTTTTTTCAGCACTCTTTTTTTCCTAAAATTCCATTGCTGGAAGCAGGCTTTTTATTTTATGAATTTTTCTAGTGTTTGGAATTATGTGAATGGGCTGTAGCTGGTGTTACTAAACATCTCGAAGATCTTTCGTCAGTTACTTTTTTATTCGAATTCGGTTTCAAGTCACGTCTCGTCTTGAACGTAAGACGCTCTTGTGTTTTGCCGCGAGATACAGTTTCTTAAATCAGCCTCGCCTCGAGTCTACAACTTGATTGGATTGTGCGTGTTTATGTTAGTTGTTTTCATTGTCTGAACTGTCAAACCAAGAACGCCACCGCTGTACAGCTCGCGCGCATCACCGCTGCTCCATGGAGACTTGAGCCGCGCGCACCGAGCGCATTCACTGTGAATTAAACCGAACTACAGAAGAGCAAGTCAACAGCGAGTGTTGGAGTCCACCGGAATACACACACCGTCTCTGTAAGTACAACGAATTTACTCACCACACCACATTATAATGTAACGAATACAGTATTATTAATTGTTACCAACCAGTCGCGAGGTTTAATATACACAAACCTAGCGAATCGATTGCAACAAATGAGTAACAGACCGCAGCCTCCATGTTTTCAGGTTACTGACGATTCTATGAAAAGAAACTATCACGTTCAGACATCCCACATTTATTAAAGATTATATAGACATTCCTCATTTAAACATACATAATTTTTTTTTTCAGGTGCAAAGTTGCTTGTCAAATTCCTCTCAGCCTATACAGGAGCTACTCAACAAAATGAACCTCTGTTAACGTACGTCTGTCTGTCAGAGCAGGTAAGATTGACTTTACTCATGTACTAAAACGGTTAAATTGAGTTACTATTCTGTACGCATATAGCTACAATTCCTTCTTAAATGTTTCGCTCTGGCCCCGCATAACTAGTAGTAAGCGCCACATAGTTTTCATACAGGCTGTGAATACTTAGCAGGCACAGTTCTCATGGAAACGCTCTCCTACTCTCACTACAGAGGCAGCCCACCTGTTTCAGATAAACATAGAATGTGATACCAGTATGCTGTGGTATGTAGGGAAACCCTCAGCTTCCAGATGCACTGACTTCAGATCAAAAACTACCCCCATGGGGAGCTTCTTCATAGAATTGAGACATATAAAAAAAAATCCTCTGCATTGTGCTGGTTTATTTCTCTCCCACATTGTTTGTGATGTGTAAAAAACCTCTGGCCGGTTTTGGCATGTTTTCCCTCTCTTTTGGAGAGGAGTGTGCTGCTTTTTGCTTTTAAATATTCTACTTTAAGGGATCATTCACCCCAAAATAATTATTTACTCTGTCATTCAATCCTCATATTGTTCCAAAACTGTATTACTCACTTGCTTCTGCATGAACTCACAAGATGATGTTTTAGTCCATACATAAAACATACAGATGTTTTTGTACCCCATTGACTTTTATTGTATGGACAATAACATTCTTCAAAAATTCAAAGTTTGTGGTATGCAGAACAAAGAAAGTCCATACAGTTTTGGAACGACATGCGCTCTTAAAAATAAAAGTTCTTTATTGGCATTGATGGTTCCATGTATAACCTTTAACATCTATTGCACCATAGGTTCTTTGGAGCGGAGAAAGGTTCTTTAGATTATTAAAATGTTTTCCCAATAAGAAAAATGGTTATTTTAAGAACTATTAACTGAAAGGTTCTTTTGGGAACCTTAAATGTTTTTTTTCTATGGCATCTCAGTGAAAACCCCCTTTTGGAACCTTCATTTTTTAAGAGTGTATGGGTGAGTAAATGATGAAGAATTTTTATTTTTGGATCATCTATCCTTTTAACATATAAGCAAATATAACAGATGGTCAGTTTGACAAACAAGATGCATTTGACAGACCTGCACTCATATGACACAATATCCTCACTAGGGAAATCAATTATGGCTATAATTTTGTTTGTTATATAATTATACTGCATCAAAACAGACTGTAGGCAAATGATACTCCTGCAGCTTGCATTTCAAATCAGTCCCGTCCATTTTCACTTTAGTTGATGGCATGAAATAGTCTGAAATATCTATTTTTAAGCCTGAATCATATAGTATGTCATTAGCAATGCCTGTGGTGTATACATCATGTGATCATTAGTGCCACATATATCATGTTTGCTAAAGGCTTGATTTAGTTTTGTTCCCACAATTCATAGTCTAGTCTGGCTGATGCCGTCTAGTTGTAAACTGCTATGTGTTCTCCTCTTGGTTTCACTGGCATTATTTCTTTTCCCCTAATGCCTGGAACCATTACTCACAGCTTGAGCTAATCGTAATGTTTCTGGCGAACTGAAAATAATCCCACTCTTGCTAAAGGCGGAATTCAGAAAGTGGTTTGTTTCCACTGCTGCTGCTTCTTTCATTATGTGGCGTGTCGGAATATTTGTACATCCTCTTGCTCTGAAAGCTCCGGAAGACGTGAATTATGTCGGCCAAGATTTAGAAACCCAATTTTGTTACAAGCATGAGTTTCCATAGGATTGTAAAGCCAGCAAGCCTGTCCAGGGAGCTCCATATGTGGCATAAGAATTATGGGTATAACTGTGTGCAAAACATCCAGAAAATTGGAGGTTTAAACCTTTTTTGTGCAGGCTTAAAGTTCTGTTTCTAAATCTTGAGGTTCTTTCAGTGCACTTCTTCTCGCCTCCACTTGCAGCTCATCCACCATTATTAACGCAGAGCCAGGGGCCCAGCACTAAAGCCTTCATATTTCACCCCAGTCCACAGCTCGCCTGCCCTTACAAATTGTTAGCACTGTAAAATTCAGTCAGGCGAACCATTACAATATCTTGCCCTTCTCGAGTCTCTGCACAATTGAGGTAAGCAAGCTCTGTCAAGCCATGTTATAGATAATATAAATATGGAGCCTTATTATGAGATATTTTTACCTGCTTTCCTCAGCCCTTTTAGAGTCTTTTGAGCTTTTACTTTAGTCAGCTACTTTCTGTCTGTATTAAAGGGGTCATGAACTGCCCCTGTTTTTTATTTTGTACTGTTCTCTGCTCCGTTTGAATAAGTGTGGCAGATTGTAGACTCGGAAGTAAACGCCCACTGCTATGATTTGCACACTTGTGTATGTTTAACAGTCCGTGTCCTTCACAGATGGGCGCTGCTGTGATTTAGGTTAAAAATGCATAAATACTCATATCAAACGATCCGTTTAACAGACAACGCAACAGTGATCATGTAATAAAAACAGTTACTTACACGTGTGTTGCGACATTACTGTCAGATCCAATATAGCCTAGTCGGCACAGCATCGTCTTTTAGTTTCAATCTTTTTGAAAATCTCGTGTCGAATTGTGCCTTGTTTGTAAACGAATCCATGGTAAAATGAAGTGAACAAAATACTGAGTTCTTACTAACATGGTCTGAAACTTCATTAAAAATAAAATTTCTCCACTCTTTCCTAATGTGTGGATCAGAAGGAAGGCGATGCAAAGACTGTTTTTTACCACAACTTGGCATTGTACAGCGTCTTGTTGTCTTCAGAGCATCTTTATTATTTGGTTTCTGCGTAGACCTGTGTGTTCGACTCTCTTGTAAATACTACATGCGTGAATCGGTGGGCGGGGCTAAAAAGGCAGCGATGTAGAAGCAGGCGTTGATCTTCTTCTGCGGAGGTGGAGTTTAGCCACACTGTTACATCATAGAGTTGTACATTCCACAAGCTGTCGTTTTGGCAGACTGGATTCAATGTAAGCTGTTTTTAGACTAATGAGAATGTTTTGCGTTCTGAAACTTACAGGATGTTTTTATAGTACAGTGACCTCTTATATATCAAAAGATCAAGGGAATTTTGGTTTCTGCAGTTCATGAGCCCTTTAAGGGTCTAAAATGTTGAGCTCATCCACTTTACACCACTTCCAGAAGTAGTCGAAAATGCATTCAACCAGACTGCTTTCATAGACACTCATGTGGTCAAATCCATTTGTACAGACACAAAAGACTGCATGCTACTGACATAATATGCAATCATTGTGAGACACATTGTGAGAAACTTGCACCAAACACGAAACAGCACACCAAAACAAACGATTCAAAACACACAGTTTTCTTTATCCTTTTCTTTGCTTAAGTGCAAGTAAATGTAATGTATTCAGGCAAATAATTTCATGTAATTCAATGAAAATGTATTATAGTTCAAATTTATACTAAATGAAATTAATTGAACAAAACTGGTTTTGTTTGACCCACTTAAGTAAATTTTTGTGTAATTTCATAATTATCTTTTAAATAAGGTTAACGTGTGGAATGTACACTGTAAAAAGTGGTAATGAAATTGTTACCTTTAAGCGCCACTTTTACCTCATTTAACACATAATTATTAGTTTTGTTAGTATAAATTAATGTATTTAGGTTGATTCAGTGATGCTAAATAATAATTTGAATAAAACTAGTTAATTTAAATGTTATCATTTTTCTCAGTGTACTGATGAGCGTTTATAGTAAACTAAAACTTCGATGTAATTAAAGTAAAAAAAAAAAAGATTATCAAGTCGTTTACATGTGCTTTTAAATTTTAGTCAAGACATCAAAGTATACATCTTTAAAGCATGACAAAAGATTATTAAAAAATAAAGATTTTAAATGTACTTTAATTTAATTTAAATAACGTTTTACAAGTGTACTTAATGTGTTAAGAAGCATAGTCATGAAGATATTTTCCTTTTAAGTACACTTAATTTTTGTTTCATTATTTTAAATTAACTGCATTTTTAAAAATAATCTTTTAAGATTTGAGCACACTTCTGTTTCACAAGGTTTGAGTTACACTTATTTATAATGAACATTTCGGTTGCCATCTTGGATTATTTTCACTGAGCCCTGCCAGGAAACTATGCATGTGATGCTGCCTTAGAATTTGGTTAAACTGAGGTATCTTAGGAGGCAGCATAATTACGATGACTATCTTAAGGAACAACCTTCACATGCATATGGATGCCTTAAATTGCTTCCTCTGCAGGCATCTCACTAAGTTTTGGAACAGTGCTTATGTGTTATTTGGCCATATGGCAGGTCGATTACGGACAGTTCAGAATTGAATGGCCCTTCCCTGTACAACGAATGCAAAATTGGTTCCTTTTGCTATTCAGGAGTGTCTCTTCATAGTAGGATTCATGCCATGATCAAAAAAAATGTCTGAAGACCCCAGAGAAATTGTTGATGCTGAAAAAGATATGAAGTGTAAAATATTGCTAAGAACCTGTGGCCATGTAGAAAATGTGTACCTGAAGATAACAGAACACCAATTCCCTGTCCAAGTAAAATGACTACAACAACAATCCTCAAAGCGTTTGAAAAGAACAGTATGGCAAGAATGAATGAGTATACACTCACCTTTCTGCATAAGGCACAAAGAGGTGACCTGGGGGAAAAAATCAAGGAGGAAATCACAGCTCTCCAAAAGAATATTCTCGTCTGTCTCAAATTGTTGATGCCAAAATGTTTGGCAAAAGCAAAATACGGGGTTCCAACAAAAAAGCACCTCATCCCAGTCACGTAGCATATCCTGGCTGTACCAAATGCGACTTGTAGCTTTCAGGAGGACACTGATTTCTGGATTTCACCACTAGTTATTTACCAAGGAATAACAGGGAGTCTGTTCATGGTTAGAAGCTTGAACCACAGATAGTACCGTAGTTTAGGCGTATATACGGTTTAAATTGAAGCTGAAGTGTAAAATTTCTATACTACTAATTGTATCAAAACTGCAATCAGAACTGAAAAATAATAATAATAGCTTTATATAACTTATATAACATTTCAAAGA